ACGTCATGCTACGTCCGCCATGTTCTAACCATAGCTGGAGAATTTTTGCCGCTTCCGTTGTTGGCAGCTGTGGTACTTCGATGAACGATTTCTCATTTGGGATAGCAATCTAGAGAAGTAAATGACCAGAATTAGATTAGGTACAGCCATATGGATTTACAAGCGCAAACGTGCCAATCTATTAAAGTTGAATTCGTGATATCCATGTTTTTTGTTTACACCAAATGCTCAAAAATATTCACAAGTCGTTAGAAAACCATGCAAGTAAATTACCATTAACATTCATTGAATGAATGATGCAAGAGCGCAAGTTATTCACAATAATTAACAATTATTCGCCGAAGGCGAGGTGATTATCGGTGAATAAAAACCGAGACGAAGTCGAGGTTTTTATTCACGATAATCACAGAGCCTGAGGTGAATAATTGTTTTAGTATAATTACATAGGTGATTATTTAGAAAAAAAATAAAAAATAGACATTTCTTCGTCATTTAATTGACAAAACGGCTTCGGCCGCCATTTTGAAAATCGCTTAGGTGATTATCGCGTAATAATCACCTCAACGGCAACCAATCAGCGTCGAGAATTTTCAATAATCACCTATGTAATTACACTAACATGGTATAGTTTGCACATAACAATTATGCATTACCGAGTACTTTTAACTCATTAACTTTCATACTTAACAGGTAGTTCAGACACAAACCACAACAGCTTAATGATGTTTAAAATCACCTTCAAAATAGGAAAACAATGAAAGATATCATCTGGTAACGTAGAAACCACGAGTTTCACGTGAGGTGGCAACGTCAGCGGTAACCATGCCAACTGTCGTGCCCCGTAGTCCTCTGCGAGGTTATCCAGGGAATCAAGGAAGACGAAGAGGGGTTTGCTTGCGCTTGCTTCGTTAAGTATGTAAGCGAAGTACTTTATCAATTTGTTATAGTCCTGGGAAAAAACAAGGCATCTTTTAAGAAACTTACAAATGTTGAACATATCATGGTGGTGGCCAATCTCAACACTGTTGACATTTATAGGAACAAGCAGCTTAAATGTATCAACTCTATTTAATTGCCTCTGAATCCAAGACTACGGCATAAAATATAGAGACTCATTTTGTCAACTGCTAGTGGAGCACCGTACATACGCGCTGTACGGTAGTGCTTAGTGAAACCAAACATCTATAAATGATCGCAGTAATAATCGTCAAGCAGCAGTTATAGTAAGAAAACACCTTTCCAATAAATGTCGTAATCTTGTATTTGAAGGTAAGTAAATAGTAATTGGCTTTTCAGGCTGTTGTGGTTACCCAGCCATCAGTTTAGTATGTTTGTGTTTGTGTTTGTGTTTGTGTTTGTGTTTGTGTTTGTGTTTGTGTTTGTGTTTGTGTTTGTGTTTGTGTTTGTGTTTGTGTTTGTGTTTGTGCGTATGTGTTTGTGTCTATATCACACAATGATGGAAAAGCAATTAAATTAAATAGAAACAAGAGCTGTAGCTTAATTTTCATGTTCCTGTAAAACGTGGTTTACACTATCAAAGTTTCTGTGATCACAGTAGGAATTTTGATTTTTAAGAAATATTTGAGGAAACTGACTTAGGGGCTGATTACATGGACCGGGCCAGCCCGGTTAACCGGGCTGAAAAATGTCACGAAAATCTTCCTTGGGCTGCAAAATGAGTTTTAAATCGGGTTTAGGATGATTTTGCATCTATAATAAACCAATTATTTATCGCAAATTTATTTTACGCGAGTTTTAAAACCACAGTAAGGTCCTAAACAAACGAGTCAGCCCGGTTAACCGGGCCAGCTCGGCACCATGTAATCAGCACCTTAGTGTTAAATACTGAGTCAGTTCCCTCAAACATTTCTTTACAAATCCTTTGAAACTTTACCAATGAAAAAACTGTGATAAAACAAAAATGGTAGATATTACAAACAGGAAAAGCCGAGTTAGATAAGGGATTGGCAAACAGACTCGAAGTCCTAACGAGGCAAACCCCGTACATTCATTAATTACAATTGATGATACTAGGACAACAAAATACACATAACTGACAAACATTATAACTGACATACCTCTGGTACAGAAATAGTATCACTTTCCATTTCATATATTCTGTAAATTTGCTGACACAATGATACCAACACTGTTCGTATATTACACGATTGTTGAGTCGTTCCCAGGAATCTCATTACGACCGCCCGTCCTACATCTTCCTTGCACTGTCTGGCTGCCATGGCAACCAATGATGTCTTACCACTTCCAGACTGGCCATAAACAACAAGAGGCGATTGGTTGGATTCGGTATTCAAGTATTCTTCAATGGCTTCCAGTTCCAGGCTCCGGCCGTGAAACATCTCGCATTTCTCTTGACAAATCGCAATGTGTTGGAAAATTTCGTCATAGAGCGGGTCTTTAATATCTAACTGTTCTCTTTCCTTAATGCCTTGTACTATATTTTCGGTTAACTTTTGCTGAAAATCTGAGCACAGCTTCTCGATATATTTTTCATGCTCCAGACAACTTGTCGGATCTATTCCCTTTTCCGCTCCCCATTCTACATCATAGTTCATAATTCTTTCCGCGTCCAAAGTTTTTTCAACACGATTTTCTTTTAAATCTTTCAATAATGCAGTTGCTTCCGTGTCTATGCCGCCTGCAGCGAAATCAATGTAAAATCGTGATATATTTTTTGAGTTGATTGCCACATCTGAAAGGTTGTTGATATTTCGTCGAAACCAAAGGCAGTGTTTGTTTGGTGCGTTTGCTTTCAGGATTCCATTGTGAATTTCATCTTCTGTCACTGAAATAGAAAGAGTATATTCTCTGTTATACGTGACGTAAAAGGGACCATATACTTGAAACATTCTTTGACGTTGATCGTCCGAGGACATGGAAAACCATTTGTTCTAAATGTCGCTCTTGTTCTATTACTTGTTGTTCATGATAGTTGAGAGCGCTCCAAGCTGTCTTTGCATTTCCAAAATGTCTTTGCTTCAGTCTGTTTGAATAAATTAAATTAAACGCCCAGATAAAAAACACCCGGGCAGTCTATGTTCTTGACATACTATCTTTGGAAAATGCAGGGACAGCTTGGAGCACATGCATGTTTAGGATGTTTACTGTATTCTGTGACTATGTCTGTGCTGCACAATGTTGACTCATCTATATGTATATATTTTTTTTTCTAACTTGATCATTCTCCAAACCATATTAACTTTGGAAAGTGTAAAGATGGGTTGGAACGCATTGATCGTGTGCTGTAATTTTGTATTGTAGCTTTGTTAAGGTTGTAACCTGTTCTATTGTTTTACAATGTCAGTGTAATGTGTAGGTAGGACTTGATTTGGGACTCCTCAGTCCTGTTGTCTGTACCTTCAATCGTTTTATTGATTGTAAAGTTTATAAATTAAATTAAATATCGACACGTAATAGGGAGATGATCATGAAAGACGGCTGGTCAAGAAACATGGAATGAAGAGATCAGAGGACGTGAGGTTGCAAAGAAGGCGAGGGAATCAAGGTTGAGGATGGTATGGACACGTAATAAGAATAGATAGATAGATCGATCATTAAAAGACCTTAATTTTGGTGTGACATAGAATGAAGTGCAGAGAAGGCGAGGGAAGCACGATTGAGATGGTATGGACATGTAATAAGAAGAGACGAAGGAGAGCTGGTCAGTAAAATATTAGTCCAGTGGTCTCCCAAGACGAAAATGCCTTTTTAAATAAATTTATTAATGAAATTTTTACATTTGTTTACAATCAAAGTTCGAACTTTGAAATGAACTTGCGAACTTCGTTGCGAAGTTCCCGCCCAACTTCAGAATTTGGAAACGCAATTGGCAAGTTGACAACAAACTTGGGAACCGCGCTTTGAAAAGTAATATGAAATTGACAATAAAAGCTATTGCTTATTTTTTTCTTTTCTCTTGTGCTACCTGAGATGATGTATTTAGCTGCTTCATCGTCATTCAACGTTTTAGACGCAGCTTGTCTCAATACAACTTGCATTCTCTCAAACTGTTCCCACCATGCATTTCGCGCATTCCTCCGCTTCTCTGCGTCACTGTTGTCGTTGAAATATGGCAGATGCGTTGTGATTGGCTGAAGAACATAAACCGGAGGGACATTGTTCTCGTCGCGGTAGAACCAACGAGTCAGCAGTTCTTTGTCTTTCGCTTCGGAGACTGCTTCTAACATCAGGTCAAATTCTGTTGCGAGGATTTTTGCTGGAAACGGACGGTAGCCGTACTTCTGACCAAGGAATGTCTACATAATTGAAAGAAAAACAAGTGATATTAAAAAATCCAGTATACTCATGAGCGTGCTCAAATTTATATCAAAATCCAGTATACTCATGAGCGCGAATCTAACGCTCGTTTTCTAAAAGCGCACTCAACGAGTGGAGGTTCAATCTGAGCTTCCCCTTGAGTGTCAATGCTGTTTTTGAATAGCTGGAGGGCGAGTAGACACATAGTAAGGTACGACACTAACCATCCAGCTATTCAAAAACAGCATTGACACTCAAGGGAAGCTCAGATTGAATCTCCACTCTTTGAGTGCGAGTGAGCTTTTAAGGTCCAGACACACCGGACGCGATTGGACAACGCGACGCGATTTTCACTGACCGATAACTTTGATCCTAGTTTAAATTTTCCAAATATTTTGAGGCGCTATAACATTTTGAGTTATTTGGTCTACATATCTTTTAGAATTGCTGTCATTGGCTGTTTTATTAACTTTCAAAAACTAAAAAATCGCGTCGCGTTGTCGAATCGCGTCTGGTGTGTTTGAACCTTTAGAATACTATGATTACACTCTCAAAAATTACGGGGGGGGGGGGGGG